TCATGAGTGCCTGTACATTTGTAATGCTGAGAACAAGTGCATATGGGCACATGTAGGGTAGGGCTGAGGAACGGTAATTGAAAGATTTTTGATATTTCAAAGAATGATTAGATTTCAGTATCAAGAGTTAAGTAAAGATTATGAAAAACTTTGGGGAAGGGATAGGATGTGGAAATGAGAAACGTATCAAACCTTGTTGTTTTCATGACTATCAGATTTTATCATGTTTTGTACTAAATTTATTAAAATGTATAAGATTTAATTAAATGCATCATGATTCTGTATTAGTTATAAAATTCTCTTGCTTCATTTCTCCCCTGGGGGGGGAGAATAGCAAGGGACAGGAGGTTTTAAAAATATTTTTCTGCTTATGTCGTGTTGCAATATTGTATTGAGGGGAAAGAATTTCCCAGCCAGTATCATATGCAGCATGACAGATATTCAGCTCCTCTGAGGACCCAGCCTGAATTAGTCAGAACCACAATATGGGAGAAGGAGGACTTATTTTTCTCCCTTATTATCAGAGTGCTGAAATGGGATTTTTATCTACTTCTGGTTAGCCAAGTTATAATAATAGTAGTAAAGTTGGAAGGGACCTTGGAGATCACCTAGTCCACGGGTCGGCAACCCGCGGCTCCGGAGCCGCATGCGGCTCTTTGAGCCACCTCCTACGGCTCCGGAGCCTTCTCCGCCATTTTCATAGAGAGAGAGACAGACAGAGACAGAGAGGCACTTGTGCTTCCCTTCTCTCTATCTCTCTCTCTCTCACACACATGCAGATTTGCCCCTTGCTCCCGATTGGCCCTGCAGCTGGATGCCCTGCCCCCTGGTGGCCAGGAAGGGCCTTTCGGGGGCTGGCCCAGTCCGAGGTGCATGTGGCCAGAGAGCCGCGCGGGGAAGCCCCAGGATCGATGCTGGGAGCGGCCCAGCAGAGCCTCCGTTGAAAGGGCCAGCCCTCCCGCAAGCTGCGGCCCTAGTGGGCCAAGCAGGAGCAGACCCGGAGATGGAGGGTGAGTGGGGAGGAGGGAGGGGGCTTACCTGCACCAGGCGGAGGGGCAGCCGAGCCGGCCTCGTGTCTCCCTGGGCTGGGCAGCAGGCCTGGCGGGGCCAGCGGCCGGCAGGGGCATTGGTTCCTGCCCTTCCCCGGGCCAGGCGGTAGGCCCAGCGGGGGCAGCAGCCGGCGGGGGCATCGGTTCCTGCCCCTCCCCGGGCCGCTGAGCCAGCCTCGCGTCTTCCCGGGCTGGGCGGCAGTGGCGGCCGGCAGAGGCATTGGTTTTTGGCCGTCCCCGGGCCGCTGAGCTGACTTCGCATCTTCCCAAGCTGGGCGGCAGGGGCATTGGTTTGTAGCCGTCCCCGGGCCGCTGAGCCGGCCTCGTGTCTCCCCGGGCGGCAGATGGCGGGGATATTGGTTTCTGGCCGTTCCCGGGGCGCTGAGCCTGCCTCGCGCCTCCCCGGGCTGGGCGGCAGTGGCGGCCGGCAGGGGCATTGGTTTTTGGCCGTCCCCAGGGCGCTGAGCCAGCCTCGCATCTTCCCGGGCCGTGCGGCAGGCGGCGGGGGCATTGGTTTGTAGCCGTCCCCGGGGCGCTGAGCCGGCCTCGTGTCTCCCCGGGCGGCAGATGGCGGGGATATTGGTTTTTGGCCGTCCCCAGGGCGCTGAGCCAGCCTCGCATCTTCCCCGGCCGTGCGGCAGGCGGCGGGGGCATTGGTTTGTAGCCATCCCCAGGCCGCTGAGCAAGCCTCGCATCTTCCCGGGCTGGGCGGCAGTGGCGGCCGGCAGGGGCATTGGGTTTTGGCCGTCCCCGGGCCACTGAGCCAGCCTTGCATCTTCCCGGGCCGTGCGGCAGGCGGCGGGGGCATTGGTTTGTAGCCGTCCCCGGGCCGCTGAGCCAGCCTTGTTTTTTCCCGGGCCAGGCAGCAAGTGGCGGGGACATTTGTTTGTAGCCGTCCCCGGGGCGCTGAGCCTGCCTCGCGTCTCCCCGGGCTGGGCGGCAGTGGCGGCCGGCAGGGGCATTGGATTTTGGCCGTCCCCGGGGCGCTGAGCCTGCCTCGCGTCTCCCCGGGCTGGGCGGCAGTGGCGGCCGGCAGGGGCATTGGGTTTTGGCCGTCCCCGGGCCACTGAGCCAGCCTTGCATCTTCCCGGGCCGTGCGGCAGGCGGCAGGGGCATTGGTTTGTAGCCGTCCCCGGGCCGCTGAGCCAGCCTTGTTTTTTCCCGGGCCAGGCAGCAAGTGGCGGGGACATTTGTTTGTAGCCGTCCCCGGGGCGCTGAGCCTGCCTCGCGTCTCCCCGGGCTGGGCGGCAGTGGCGGCCGGCAGGGGCATTGGATTTTGGCCGTCCCCGGGGCGCTGAGCCTGCCTCGCGTCTCCCCGGGCTGGGCGGCAGTGGCGGCCGGACAGGGGCATTGGGTTTTGGCCGTCCCCGGGGCGCTGAGCCTGCCTTGTGTTTCCCCAGGCCAGGCAGCAAGCCCGGCGGGCAGTGGGGGCATCGGTTCCTGCTCGTCCCCGGGCCGCTGAGCCGGTCAAATCAACGGACGTGGAGGTACTGCAGCTGGCTTTTTGATTCGCCGCAGACCTCCATTGACTTCCATGGGGATTCTTGGCAATGAATGGGGCTGATTGAAATCGCTTCAAGAAGCAAGCTGCAGAGACACAGAGAGCTGCAAATGATCTCCACAGGAGATGCAGCAAGGGCAGGAGACGAGAAAGAGTCCGCTATGTCTGTGCACAAGCCCCGAAAGCTTTCTTCCTCTCCCTGCCTTTCTTGCTGGCCCTCTGATGTAAGCATCTGCTGGGTTTCCTCAACCTCCCCCCCCCCGTTTTATTTTAATCCCACCATCGCCTCCCTCTTTCGCAAAGTTGACATTCCTAGGACTCGTAGCTCGCTTCGCTCCTGGAGTCACTTGGCAAAGTTTGAAGGAGAGGCTGCCTGCTCCCACCTCCCACGGAGCAGAACTGCTGCTTCCTCACCTCCCAGCGAAAGAACCCCAGAGAGCTGGAAGGCGTCCTTTCTCCCACTTTCCGCTTCCCATCCTCCCTTTTCCAAGCACCCCTCCCAGAGCAAACCAGAAGCCTCAACTCCAGCCTCCTGCAGCAGGCTGAGATAGGCGAGCCCGAGCGACCGTCTTCTGCTGCCTCAGAACATTCACTGCAGCAGCTCTTTCTCCCCGTCGGCTTCCTCCTCCGCTCCCTGGGAACCTTCGCGCCAAAAGGCAGCAAGAAGAAAGTCCCAGAGAGGGAGAGCGCGGGGTGAGGGGAGAGCAGTCTTTTCCGAAGGGAAGAGAAGCCAGGACTGCAGAGCCGTTCATACCAGAGCTGGATGGGGGGCAGGGCAGGCGCACGTTTCGCCTTAAGCTCCTCTCTTCAATCAAGCCGTGTTTTGTGCGCGCGCACATTTTGCGGCTCCCAGGATTTTTTTTTTGTGAGGGAAATGGATCCAAGTGGCTCTTTCACTGTTGCAGGTTGCTGACCCCTGACCTAGTCCAACCCCCTGCTCAGGCAGGAAACCCTACACCATTTCGGACAAATGGCTGTCCAGTCTCTTCTTAAAAACTTCCAATGTTGGAGCATTTACTGCTTCTGGAGGCAGGCTGTTCCACTGATTAATTGTTCTCACTGTCACGAAGTTGAATATACAAGATTCAAAAAACGATATTCAAAGTTGAATATACAAGATTAAATGGGAGTGGAGGCTCATTTTCTGTTTCCTCCCCCTGCCTAGCATTACACAGATGTGTTGAATTTAGATTAACCTCCTCCAGATTTAGATTAACCTGGGATTGAGAAATAATCTGACCTCTTACATAGTGGTGGAATTTACTTTTCATTTGAAAGATGCCTTGACTTCTGACTCAATTTCTTTCATTCTAGTGTTATTCAGTGATGGGACCTTTTCAGCCTTGGAAACAGTACTAGGTAGATATTTATTTAAGCACAAGACTTGCTTTAATTGAGAAGCAAAGAATTTTTACCCCTAGATTAGCCAATAGAAAAGCACTAATTATCTGCAGTCATATTGTCTCAACGGAACAATAGGTCATTTGTTATTCCTGTATGTTAAAAGGGTAGTGGTTATTAAGTAGGTCCTCAGAGATCTGTATGATTAGGGAGCAGCTGGCACCATGCACCAACTGCAACAGTAGTGTTTGGCTCTTTGTCATCCTATGAAGTAAACAGAAAATGAAGAATGCTGGTGTCTTATCCTGTTCCTGGTGCAGCTGTGTTTACAAAGACATTGTAATATATTCACTACTTGGGCAGATCCTGTGGTGCTTAAGACTCACCAGTTCCTAAGAAAAACTATCTTTCTGACACACAAATCTGTTGCTCTAGCCCAGTGTTTCTCAACCTTGACAACTTTAAGGCATGTGGACTTCAACTCCCAGAATTCCACAGCCAGCAATGCTGGCTGTGGAATTCTGGGAGTTGAAGTCCACATGCCTTAAAGTTGTCAAGGTTGAGAAACACTGCCTAGCCATTGGCTGGTCAGATGCATTTCCTTCTCATGGAATTTCTGAGGTTTTGGAGTGATTATTAAAATTGACATTACATTTACCCAACGAAATACAAACACTCCATCATTTTCCTCATTCCACTTTGGAAAAATAATCTATGTTCAAAAAGGTCCAGAAGAATGTGTTTTCTATCCTTAAAACTTGATGCTGAATGTTTCATTCAGTTTAGGCTCACTTTGAAGTGCATTTGTCTTTCTGTTGGTCCATGGTATTTAAAAATCCCCCCAAAGCAATAAAAAGGAAATGCACATTTACCTAACTTTATTGTAAAATACAGTTCAGGTGATCACCAGATGAAAACACTATCTAGTCCGTTCAGTGCATTTCTTGAAAGTCCAAACACATTATTACAGGCTATTCCTCTCAATATTTAGAGTAACAATGACCTTTCCTTTCAACACTTGTTAGTCTATAATAGATGGCAAAGCCAACTCTGCCCAACCTTAATCTAGCTGGTAGGACTTCAAGGACAAAGAAAAAAGGCAAGTGATATAAAATCAAATTAATTTAATAAGGAACTGAGAATATAATATCAAAACACAAACATGCCCCTCAGACAGAAGTGCAACAGAGAACACTAATCACAATAGATGTCAATTCCACCCAGACATTCATATGAACATTTTGGCAGCCCCTTGCTTTTCCGGTTGTGGAGGGGGACTGGCAAACATTGGCATGTAGGCCAGCTTCATATGTTGCAGAATTCCAAAAATCTATCTTCTGTTATTTGTGAAAACATAAAGCTGTGAAAATCCATACAAGCACCAAATTATAGAATTAGTATAAAAGAGCAAGAAGTATAGAATTAAGTCATATAAACTGTTGGCCCTATATTCAAATCGTTACAAAAAGGTTTCAAATGATTTCTTGTGGCTTCCCAAGCATACAAAATTATGGTATAGACCAGGGGTAGGCAACCTTGGTTCGTTTATGACTCGTGGATTTCAACTCCCAGAATTTCTGAGCCAGCCATGCTGGCTTGGGAATTCTGGGAGTTGAAGTCCACGAGTCATAAAAGAGCCAAGGTTGCCTACCCCTGGTACAGACATACCGCCCAAGGAAAGACCGCTGTTGAGTACCCTGGGTGACCTTTTATGTGCAGAGGAATGGAGACTGAAGTCAGCCAGCTATCATATTAAATTTGTACTGTTCATATCTATCGAGACTCCATGCTTGCTTCCATGCAATCTGTGAAACAAGTGTACGCTTCAGACAGCACAGTCACAACTTTTGCCAACACTCTCCTAAAAAAGGGGGCAACCTTTGCGCCTTTTGTTCTTCCTGACTTGCAGGGCAGCCCGGGTGGCCATTTCAAACACTTCCCGCACTCCGTCCTTTGTCTTGGCCGAGCATTCAAGGTAGCCAAATGCATTGATCCTATTCGCCATGTCTCTGCCATCTTCCGGCTTCACAGGCTCCTTCACAAAAAACGATGACATGCAAAACAGTTTGATTATTAGAAGAATAGAAGAATCCAAGGTAACCCCAGTACGTACTTCCTCTTAATTGTTTTTCTCAGCCTCAGACAATATAACAAAGCATTTTTGATGACTACAGCAAGTGTGTGTGTGTGTGTGTGTGTGTGTGTGTGCATGCATGTACGTATGTATGATGCCCAAAGTTTGGGGGCTGCTCTTCTAAAGGTTGGGCACAATAACAGAAAATGGTCCTTTCCTGGGCCCTGCCAGGTGTCCCTTCTTTGTAGATGCAACCTGAAGCATACACATTACATAATTTAATACTTTATATTTTCAGAGTATCATTGTGCACCTTGCTGGTATGACAGAAGAAACAAACTCAGATGGCCCTGAGACCTCTGCTGTTTTTTAAAAAAAACAAGGGCATGGGGCTGTGCAACTTTGGGATTGAGGCCATTATTCTGACAAAGGCCCAACATGTTTACATTGATGTATAGGAAATACTGGCATAAATCCTTAATGCAGGACTAAAGTGGGTTCTTGTCTGCTGCACATTATTGGGATGAAGATGAACTGTAATTGCCAGTGTCTCCAGAATCAATTCCTATCCATGCTGGCTGGAAAAAACAATGTTGGACTTGAGAAAAGATACTGATGAAAAAGCCTGTAGATTTATTAATTTATACCCCATTTTTTCATGCTAATTGGATTGTCATGATGATCAAAAACAACCAATTAAAGCAAACTATAAAATGTAATTAAGAGACATATACAAATAATAAATATTTCTTAATTTTATTTTCAAGCTCTTTTTAAGATGCAGCTTCTTCCCTAAATGTCCTGAGAAAGTACAGAAAAGCAGAACTAAATTAAAAACTTCACTGGGATTGTCAAAGAGGAGCATCAATTCGTACTCAAATTTCACTCTTCAAAGGAAGCTCAACTGTTTAGAATTGGAAATGCAAAATCAACAGCTTCTTTAATCAGTCATAATCCCAAATGAGCATGGAATTGATGAGGTAGCATTAATTAGGTCAAGCTACAAATAGTAAATCTTCATGAAATATTTACCTCAGAATTTTCCACAGAGTAATGAGGGAACCTAGTTCTATAAGAAGTTACAATGAAAAAAATATGTTCACAAAGCCTATGTGAAAGGTAGAAAGCATGAAAACTCCATGTTTAAATTTAACGTTTAAATTTAATCTAGAATCCTCAAACATTGTTTGCAGGTAATGCAGAACAGAAATAAGTACACATAAACTGTTTCTCAAAAGTAAATGAGGTCACATGTATAGGTTTGTTTTTAAGTCCCAGAGTTCAGTGAGACTTGTCCAGTTCTAGGTAAGTAAATATATATTACACCTTAAGTTTTTTCATTTACTTGTATTCTAAGATTATACTCTAAACTATATTTTTAAGCTTGAATTTCATATATTCACAGCTTCCTATTCAAAGAAAATCAAGAAACACAAAAGTATTTGGTTTTAAGTCAAAAATTTGAGGGTCCTTATTTCTCAGAAAGTGATCTTGCACATTCAGAGGGACATTGAGAAACTTGCTATTAAAAAAGAACAGGAACTCTTGCAGGACTTCAGGTTTAGGAAGAAACTTTAAGAGCAGAGGCAAAAGGCCAGCCTGGATGTTTATCCAGAGATAGCTGTAAACTGCTTCAAGTTGATTATTTGTGAAAGTAATAAACCAATACCGGAACATACCACAATTACTCTGAGATGTAAAGATCCCATGTGATAATGACTGTTTTTTCCCTAGATGTAGAAAGCACGGAAAGCTTCAATAAATATATGAACAAGGCAATTTAAACCACAATTGCACAATATTTTATCTCCAATAGGAGAATGGCATTCAAAAAAGCAAACAAGTGTGGATGGATCCATACCTGTTTCATCTTTGTCAACTCTCTGCGTGTGTGTTCATCATTCCGCAAGTCCTTCTTGTTGCCTACAAGGATGATGGGCACATTTGGGCAAAAATGTTTCACCTCAGGTGTCCATTTTTCTGGTATGTTCTCTGGAAGAAGCAATGAGATGGGAGAACCCGCTCACTGAGCAAATCCCTAGCACAACACAGATAGATTCATAAGTGTAATCCCCACATCAATATAAGGGAAAAGATCTATTTCAGTGTGATTGAATACAATGAGAGTCTTATTTCCAGAATCTTGGCTGGTAAACAAATGTTAGTCTACTTCATCCACCTCACCCCACTACAAATGTAAGGGAACTTTGTACTCTTTAGACCAGTAAAATACGGGGAAGAAGTGACTGAGGAGTGTGTTGGAAGTTCCCCATCTAAACCCCAGAACCACAGTCAGAAATATCCCTGCAGACATGTACTAGTATAGAGCTACAGAAAGACTTAATGTCACAAAGGCTTTCTGTGCAGAAAAAAAAGTACATATTCCTTCATCCTTGAATTTTCCCTCTGTAATACTGCCAACACTCATTTCCCTCATCTTTCTCCTGAAAGCAGCTGTTGAGTCCTTTCTGTACTGAAAAGCTATTAATGGTGTCATAGTACAAACATATCCAAGGAACTATCCAAACTGGCTAATCTTGAATGGAGGAAGCTATTCATTCTCCATCTAGCAAAATAGATTCGATCCCTAAAAGATTCCTCTTTCTAGTACAGACTTTGAGGAGACATCCTGAACTTCTGCCAGAGTCTGCATTCTTTTAGGCAGCATCCATGTATATAGGCTATTACAGCAATCATAAAATTTGCCCCTAAAATTCAGATTTTTATCATGTTAAAGTACTATTGCGAGCCCATGGCCAAAAGATTGATAATCAAATACAGTTATGATTTTGTTTGTGATCTCTATGATGACAAATATTACAAAAGTAACCAAATATGGCTGAGAAAAATCTGATATGATTTCAGAACAGAGTGGTTTTTTTCTACAGTTGACGTATTTTTTCTAAAGCAATGAATTCATTCACCTGAAAAAGCAGGCCTATTCCACAAGCAGAAATGAACTGATGGATCACCAACAAGTTGTCTTAATGTCAACTCTTAGTGACCACATTCTCCATAAAGGTCTGTCTCTAACCTGGTCCTTCCTATAGTGCACTCAGTACCATTGCATCTCAGTCCACCTGCCTTGCTGGTTTGTCATCCTTTTTCTTTCTACCTTTCCCTGTATTAGAACTTTTTCCAGAGATTTAGGTTTTTGCATAATGTTTCTGAAGTAGGATAATTTGAGCCTGGTCATTTGTAAGAACTCTGGGTTGATACATTCATTGATCCATTTGTCCATGTATTGGTTGTCCACAGTCTTTTTTCAACCCCAAAGTCAAAAGCATTAATACTCTTCCTATCCCAATTTCAGAAGAAATTATTGAATTTCATATGCTTAGCAAGAACTTTGCAAAGCTTCATCACTTCCAATAGAAGATTATCATAACTTTTTAGCACTTTCCAAAGAAATATGTGTTTACAATCTTTTCTTATTTACATTTACAACTAAGTGACATTAATTACATGCTACACCCAATACTATTTCCAGGACACCATTTTGGCTTTGAAGAATACCGGACATTTGAAAAGTGTTAGTCACTCTAATGCAATATTGTTGACTGTGACAGTAACACTGTCCAGCAGAGAATTGTTTATCTCCTGCTTTATTGACCAAAGAAGCAGCTTCAGATGGCATGGTAACTACTCCCGACAGAATGGAGCTCTAGCAATACATGGGAAGACTTACAGTATGTTGACCTTTCCTGACCTATAATATGAGCTGTTATTTTATAGCCTTGCCTAAACTATCTGGACTGTCAATGGAGAAGCACATAAGGATGACATCTGTATCAGGATAAGAGAGAGGCCGCAACCTGTCATAATCCTCTTGCCCAGCTGTATCCCAGAGGGCCAGCTCCACCTATAAATGAAAAAAAAATCAGTTCCGTAATCAACATAATTGTGACTCTATAGTTAAATACAGATACTGAAGAAAAAAACATACAACTGTTTTGCTTCTCTCATTTCTCACTTGGCTCCCTGGCAATTTTAAGCAGCCTGGCAAAATATCTACCAGTATTAAGCAATTAAATATATTAAACCCTGTATTTAACAATGGCCATTATGCAGACTGCTTTTTTTCCCACCATTCTCAAGGGCATTCATAAACACTATCAAAATTAAATACAGGAATACCTATTCAGGGCAATCAATGGAATGTTAGAAGAAGCACCAGAAGAGTTTTACTGAAGTTTCTACTTTTCAGAAATTCAAAGTTTTTATACTAATTTTATGAGAAATTTGGTACATGAAATCATCTGACAAATGGCACCTGGACTCATAACAAACCAGGAATCAGGACAGCTATGTACATTTTAAATGTTTTATTTATCTGTAATGTAAGGATGAGGATTGACTCTTCACATAAATGGGGAGTGTTGGATAGAAATGGAAGATCAAACCCCTCCTAATTTACTTCTTTGCACTCTAGTCCTTAAAACAAATATGTGTTCATCAAATTGGCCTTCATCAGCTGGTGAATTGTGAAACTAGGCAAACATTGCTCAAAGCTACTCAGCAAAATAAACAGGGCATGACGGCATGGATCTTTGGCAAATGTACAGTTACTTAGTGTATCTTACCGATTTAATTATATTTCAAATGAATCCTTCTGGAATTTATTTTATCTTTTAATCAAACTTATACACATCTCATTATCTAAATGATGGTGAGCAGTTTACAATTAGGTTAGCATTTTTTTCCCCTGAAAGTGTTGGTGTCAGATGTTGGTGGTGAAGAAGCTTAGGGTATGTATGCAACTAGAGAGAAGACAGCACTATTCATGATGTTAAAATTCCATTTACATAAGGTCGTAAATAAGCTGATCAATATTTAACAAGAAAGAAGGAAGGTAGGCTTCTTTGATGCAGAATTACCATTTCAGTGTATTGGATAGGAGTCATTAAATCAAATTTAATGTTTCATTTAATCTACAAATATGGAGCCTAACATTTGGGGAAAAAAAGGCTTCCAGCCCATTGTTTTAAAAATTTTAGTCCTGATTAATGATTGTTCATGGCTGATCAATCAGATAGTGACATTTCTAAGGGGAATCAGTATCAGATACCAATGGATGCGCAGAAAAAACCTTTATCGCAATAGTAACTAGTACAGCAGTTCTCAACCTGTGGGTCGCGATCCCATTTGGGGTCGAACGACCATTTCACGGGGGTCGCCAAACAACGCAGTCCGCCATTTTTTTCCCCTTTTCCTAAGCTGTGCTACTCCTTTTTATTCTATTGGCTTTTGAAAGCCAATAGAATAGACTCTCTTGAATAGAGTCTAATTCTATTAGCTTTCAAAAGCCAATAGGAATTGTTCAGGCTGTCTCTGCCCTGCTGAGCCCGCCAAAAGTCCCATTCTGCAAACGGTGCTGCAAGTTGTTTGCAGCGAAGGCGAGCTGTCTGGAAGTTTCTACCCCTCCCTGCTGAGCAACTACTAAAAATGTAAGTAAAAGAGGTCCAGAGGTGGGAGGCCGGCGGGTGCAGGGAGGGTTGCTGGTGCGCGTGGGGCCCGGCGGGTGCCTTACCTCCCTTGGGCTGGGCCAGCTGGTGGCCCAGCCGGTGGTTGGCCTGCTCTGTCTCTGCTGCTTGCCAGCTACGCCTCGGCCGGCGCAGGGGGCAGCATCACACATGCGCGGCACTCCCGGGCATGGAAAGTCCTTGACTTACGACCAGTTGGGTAGTCCTCGATTTACGACTGGTGGGGTAGTCAACTTACGACTGGTTGGGGGTCGCGGCATTAAAAAGGTTGAGAACCACTGAACTAGTAGCATCCAGGGTGGAAAGCAAATATTACTTAGAAGCTGTTTCTACTATTAAAGATGATGAGTTACCTGTTTCCCATCTACTTCAATATCTGCAATGTAGTTTTCAAAGACTGTTGGTACATAGACCTCTGGGAACTGGTCCTTGCTAAAAACAATCAATAGGCATGTCTTGCCACAGGCACCATCTCCCACAATCACCAGCTTTTTCCTGATGGCTGCCATGGCTGTAGAGATAAAAAGAAAGCTAGGTCTTATTACAACAAATAAGTCTAACATTACAGCATATTACTCCTCCTTGTGAACAAAATATATTTTGGACCAGATAGGATAAGTTTGAATCAAAGAAGTGTAAATTATTTATTTGGAATGACTTACGGAGAAAGTGGTAATCAGAAATAGAATATTTAAAACAAGGGAATGGAAGCGATACTTCCAGTGTTAGGTTTTATATCTGTATACTGATTGAAAGATTAAAAAAATATACTCACTACCCAATAATGTACTGAAATAATACAATGTTTCCCTGCCAATATATCCTGCTGTGAGAATTTTTGGGCCTTGGTATGATATATCTCAGAAGAAAGCAGCAATGAGCTACAGCGTATGCATGGTGTACAACTGTCTGGTTGTCCTGAGGGACCCAAAATAATTGCAGTTAGGGAATCAGCTAGAAAATCTCCTCTACCACCTGCCATATGCCACCATCTGTTTCATTGGCAGGACAAAAGATTCATCAAATGTTCTATTCACCCTATTCCATGGTGGCAACTTGATTAAGATGCCATCACCTGGGATAATGACAGAATCTAAGACATGTTTTCTTAAATTGATGGCACTAGGATTGCCAAATCACTAACAATGATGAGAGGTATGCTCAGCTGAAGAGTAACAGATTGGCAGTTCTGGAAATAAAGAGACAGCAATAATATCAACAGAAGAGAAAAGGAAACAAAAAAGTTGTTCACCCACCATTTCTTTTCTATTTTAAAATTTCCACAGTATTTATATTTTTAAAAGACAACATAAAATACAATATGTTAATTTACTATGTGTTACATTCTTCTTGGAATCTATCTAGTTGTCACAAATACATATTCTGGTAACTATAAGAGGTTATTCAGAATCCTCTGTAAAAAATTAATAATTAGAAACTCATTTGTATGTCTCATGATGATGAAAATTTGGCTGAGAATTAGGATAAGTCTAGGAGATTTGTTTTACACAAATTATCATATCCCAGTGCTTTAGCCTGATAATGATTACTGTAAGCAACTGGGCTCCATTTTGAAACAGATGTATGAATCAACTACAAAACCACAGAAGCATTACAGCATCCAAGCTTTACACTGATTTCACTCCAGCAGAGTTTATTTTAGAAACTATGAAGTGAACCTGGAATACAGTGATGCAACAGAAGCAAAGCAATCATGAATAAGCATTTGTACTTGGAAAAAAAACCTAGAAAAATGAAAATTGCTATAAAATCTTTTAGGGACTTTACTTTTTTCTGTATTGCACATGCCAGGAGACATCTTCTTCTCCAGAATAAAATTTTACGCCAGCCTTTTAACGTACTTGAAAGGTTTTATTTTACACTTAAGATAAAATAACTTTCTACACTCAAATAAACATTTCTATCTCAACATTCTGGTGCTGCTGTGCAAATCGGTGATCCAAAAATAATTATGCACCAGAATGGCCCACTTAATAATAATAAAGTTGGACGGGACCTTTGAGATCATCTAGTCCAACTCCCTGTTCAGGCAGGAAACCCTATACCATTTCAGACAAATGGCTGTTCAGTCTTTTCTTAAAATCTTCCAGTGTTGGAGCATTCACAACTTCTGGAGGCAGGTTGTTCCACTGATTAATTGTTCTAACTGTAAGGAAATTTCTCCTTAGTTCTAGGTTGCTTTTCTCCTTGATTAGTTTCCATCCATTGCTTATTGTCCTGCCTTCAGATACTTTGGAGAATAGCTTGACTTCCTCTTCTTTGTGGCAACCCCTCAGATATTGGAACATTGCTATCATGTCACCCCCTTTTCTTCATTAGATTAGTGACATAACCAATTCCAGCAACTGTTCTTTATATGTTTTAGCCTCCAGTCCACTTGCAAGTCACAATATTTTTTAATCCATTTTCCAAGGGCCATGGTGGGAATAGTCTGTGACATAAGAGTGTCACCCAGTAAGCTCCTTAAATAATCTATTTTGCCTATTAAATTTCATTTTTATTTATAATATACAGAAATATTCTTAGTCCAGAGCCTCTCATATGCCAATGGTTTTCATGTAATCATTCAATAACTTAGAGCAGTACAATTCCTCTGAAGCATTCATACAGAATAGTTAATAGCTACTTACTGACTTTATTGAATTTATTGAACCAACCAATGTTCACAAACAAGAAGCAAACTGAGTCATCCAGAACTTTTATATGAATGCATAGTTTAGGGAGTGACAGAGTAATATTAAATTTTCAGGTGGGGGAAGATTTACAAAACTTCCAAGGCAGTCTCAGAACCAAAATATGTTTAAGGAAGAAATGAAACAGGTGTTTTGATAATCAACTAGAAATATCAGAAATGAAACAGGTTTTGTTTTGCCCCATTATTGATATTAAACTATGTGATTTGGTGACTACAATGACCAGCTGCCACATCTATCTTTTCAGCACCACCTTGATCAAGACCACTACTCACTGGAAATGAAATGCTGTCTTCTGTCCACTAGCTCTGTTTATATTCTGTGCTCTTCTAATATAACATTTAAGAAAGAAGAGAAAAATCATAAATAGGATTATGCATAATGCACAAGATGAAAAGCACAATCTTGGAAGCAGCATCCAAATCCAGAAATGCTGCATAGAGAGTGAAGTAGAGAAGATGACAACATGTAAGACATCTTAGCAGATCAAACTCCAGAGAAAACTATCCAAAAGCCTTTTTAGATTCAGTCAATAGATGGTGGAGTCAAACCCAACTCTGTGACCTAACACAATATTTCTCAACCTTGGCTGCTTGAAGATGTATGGATGTCAACTCCCAGAATTCCCCATCCAGCTTTGCTAGCACACACAACCAAAGCAAAACTCTGTAGTGTAGGACCAATTTTTTTAAAAAATCACAAAAATACACTTTCTGTTTACAGTGACATCTGTTAAGAAATCTGCTAAAATGTTGTATGAGTCTTCATGTATTAAAGTTGAGGGATTTTAGAAAACATTCTTGTATAAAAATCTTTAATGACTACATATTTGACAATTCAGATAAAGGTAACCAAACAGAAGATGACAGGAGAGTTGAACTTTCTGCTGAAATATTATTTCCTTTTGATTTAGTCTGAATCATTCAACTTGGGCAATAGAGACTTATCTTTTGTGTTCTCTGGAATATCTCTGCCATTTTGCAATTAACTGTGCTTTACTTGTTGTGTCGCTTGCTTTGCCAAAATCACATTACCTAGATCAGATGTCAGTAGAGATCAATACAAATGTAACTGGAAACAGAAACTTCAAGCAAAGATGTTATAGTGCAGGGGTTTTCAAATATTTTCTTTCTGCAGAACATGTTCATTTAAAAACAAAATATGCTAGAAATCCAGATGACACTGGGAAAAACTCTTGTCAAATCACAGAAGAATAGATATTAGACTTGGCTCCATCAAAAATAGTTTGGGGTTAATTAGGACATGCCTCTTATATTTTTAATCATATTCCATGTTGCCATTCAGTTGAGCACTCAAGATAGTTAACAAAATCTAAAAACAAAATATAAAATCTGCACTCTGCCCTTTGGACATGTGGGAGGTATCATTACCCTCTTCAAAACTGGTATGTGATAAAGGGTATTAGGAGAGAACTCAAAAGTCAATCTTCTCCCAGCAGATTAAAAATATATCATTCAATACCAATATTTTACTGGTGGTCTGGGTCAGCATCAGGAATTGCTGTCGTATAGCATTATGCTTAGTAGATCCCAAATCCTCCAAAGGGGCCTGTTTAGGCTCTGTCTCTTGAAAAAAAAAAAAAGAGCACATTTCATGTTATGCCTATTCTGCTCTGCTATTTTTCACTATGTTGACTTCAGTGCTGTTATGTCCCGAGCCTTTGCAAACGGCTCGGGCGTTTGCAGACAGTCCCGGGCAGGTGCAAAGCTGCCCGGGACCAGACAGGCTGTCGCCAGCGCCGTGCGCATGCGCGGGTGCTGGCGCGGGAAAAGTAACCCATTTACCCGGGAGTTGCCTATATAAGAGGCTGCGAGGCGTTTGGGCGAGGCTGAAGCCATCTTCCTGTAAGCTGAACGCTGAATAAAAGAAACTGAGAACTCCAGCTGCTTCTCGTGTCTGTTTTCCCGCCAAGGACGCAACACTGGCGACGAGGATGGGATGCCTTGCACTACCTGGAAAGGAAGAAGTGTAAGCTTACCCAAGGAGTCCTGAGCGGCGGAAGAGGAACGGCGTCGACTCGGCAGCTACCCGCCAATCCGGTGCGCATTCGGGGGTAGGCTGGCTGATAGACCCGTCTCCTGAAGATCCGAAGATGGCGAAAATCGGAAGGCTTTCGGAATTCGACGTCTCACATCCAGAGCGGTGGGAGTCCTACGTATCCAGAATGGAGAACTACTTCAAGGCAAACCAAGTGAGGGAAGATAGCTTGAAGGCCGCCACCCTGCTTTGCGTTTGCGGCCAAGACGCCTTCGAAATCGCAGAAAATCTTGTAGCACCTGTTCCAGTAGAGTCTGTAAGCTACGCAGACCTGAAGAAGCTGCTGAAAGAGCACTTCCACCCCAAGGTGTCCGTTATCTCATGGCGCCACACCTTCGAGCAGAGGGATCAACGGTCCGGTGAAACAGCCAAGGAATACATCGCCGCGCTACGGAAGGCCGCCAAGCCCTGCGAGTTCAAGGACCTCGAGGAACGACTGAGGGACCGATTCGTGTGCGGGCTAAGGCATCGAGAGCTACAACAGAGACTTTTTGCCAAGGAAGAATTATCCTTCCAAGACGCCTTAAGGGAAGTCACCGCAGAAGAAGCAGCAGGCGGCGCCATCAAAAACATGCGGCCGATCAGAAACAGTGCAGAGGGTGCGTCCGTGCACCAGGAAGACGTCCGACGAAACTCCGAGGAGGATCCGGACGAGGAAGTCGACCGTCTACACCCCGCGAAGGAAGAGAACCAGAAGGGAAGCTCTTCGGCTCTGCTCAAGTGCATCGGCTGTGGAGGT